AGTGTTATTGTCGATTGGTCTTGAGCGTAATGCAGCATAAGCTTGCTCGAAGCTACGCATAATATAAAAATATACTCTCTCACTCCCAAATTAATTATTTGCCACTTTATTTTTTCAACAGTAACAAGAACTTTTGTTTATTTTTACGTTTTCATTGGTTATTTGATAAAATAAAATATTATTGACACTTCTTATTTCGAAGAACTTTTCATGTAGTTTTTTTATATTTAAATTTTATTTTTTATTTCAATATCAATATGTAAATAAAATGAATTGAAAAAACTTGATATTTTGCCTCGGAAATACAAATGTGACAAATATTTACGGACGGAGGGAGTAAGTGAAATTTGCACTCAATATGACTAAAACATAAGTCATTTCACAATGTACTCCGTAAAACATAAAACTACTTTTTAGGACGTTCAAGCAAAATGAGGAATAGAAAAATAAAATAAAAAAATGACAAAAAAATGAAAAAAAGAAAAAGATACAAAACATTCTCTAATAGAAAAGATAAAAGCGTAGCCATGGAGAGGGGTGATAATTTTTTTGCAATGTCTAGAAAAAACTTTATTTTTTTAGATGTCTCAAAAAACTTATTATTTTTAATTTTTTAAAAAATAAGAGGACGTTTTTACAATACTTTGAAATAGTTAGGCGCAGGTCCAAAAAAGTATTTATTTTTATCATTCTGAAAGTATTTTATCCAAAAAAATTTAAATTTTTGGACGTTCCGAAGAAACCCTTTCTGTTTTTCTTTTATTTTCTTTCTTTATCTATTTTTTCTTTTTATTTTTTGAACGTACAAAAAATAGTTTGTTTACTTTTGAAAAATTAAAAACGGAAATGCGTAACTTTAGATAGATAAACTATATGTTATACTTTGGTTTTTTCATTTCAAATGCAAACTAATTTGAATTTTAAAACATTATAAAAAAGAATTTAAAAAGAAGTTTAAGAATGATAATAGACACTAATGCCCACGTGGATTGGAAAATAGCCATCAATGTCTCTTCTTTCATAGGGCTTACAAGAGAAAAAGTCCATTTTACACAATATAAATTCCATGGTTTCCAATCCAATCTACACAACAACACATTACTTTATAATAACACACTACTTTATAAATTCCTTCAACATATTTTTTAATATTAGGTGATGGTGTAAATTAACTAACCGGGTAAACTATACTAGACCGGGTTTAGAATCGTTTACTTGATTCGGGAAGTAAAAAGGTAAAAACACACAAATGACCGGGAGGACTATATGTAGAAACACTTGTAGCCCAATTGATATTATAAATATAAGAGAATACACAGGAGCTTTTACAAGGGAGTTTAGAGAGAATGAATTCGGATCCCTCCTTCTGAGGATTACAACAGTATTTATACTAAGTTTGAGGGGGACAGGATGTCGTGCACCCACGTGGAGGCACGTTCTCGGATGGTGGGAGGCGATGGCCTTCGTCCTTTAGCAGCCTTGTCGCCTAGTGAGGAAGCTTACTTCCTTTGTCGTGTAGCACCTTGGATGGATCCCTTTGTTCGAGTATCTCAAGCGATCCTCCCCAGATCTCGGTCGCTACGGTCCAATCCCCTTTGGATTCTTCTCTGCCGACACTTTCCAACCCTAAAAACTACACCGAGTAATTCCTGAGGGATGAGTTTTGCCGAGATTAAGGGATTAATTAGACGATGAAGTGATTTGACCGGTATATTATCCGAAGTGTACCAGTCAAAGTTTTAGTCAATCGAGCATCCTTTAAATGATGATTAAGGTCTCTCTCTTAAGTACAATTTGACCGGTCGACCATTTGGCCCTTTCTCTTGACCGGTTCTGGGTGGAATACACCCATCATTAGGTACATATAAAATTTTATCTATAACTAGAGTCTTTATTTGTTAAATGTCGGCTTTATACAATGTCGGTCCGAATCCAAAATAATATCGTCTTAAATATGAGTAAAACACAAAGAAAAAACCAAAATAAAAGTTATATATTTTTATTCTCTAATTAGAAGTTAGCATTGTGGCTATTATAGCCACACATTTTGTGGGGGGCTTACGGTGGGGTGGGGGTGGGGGTTCAGGGGCGGGGTAAGGTGGGGGGTTTAGGAGTGAGTTAGGGGGGTATGAACTGTCAATTTTGCAAACAGAGCACCGGAGGTGCCCCAAAATGCCAGTGACACCGGAGTGGCACCGTACTCCAGTGTCACTAGAACCTCACCATATTAAGAATAAAAACAAAAAACTCCTATTTTAATATATTTTCAATGTTTTTTTATTCTACTTTAATCTTTTTTCCCTCCCAAATATTACTAGATTATTAGGTGCATAAAAAAATTTCTCAAGAAGAATCATTTTTTAATGTAAATCACGTGGTACACGAGCCATTTTCTCGCAATCGACCCCATCTAAACATTTTTCAAGTCATCAATGAAGCAATTCTTCTTCTAGACGGGAAGCCGATCCACACGACTCCCCTCCGGCCTTCCCCCCCATATATTCAAACTTTCAAGTTAGGTCATCTCCCCTCCCCCCGTAGAAGCCTCTCGATCCTCTGACCATCAATTTTTTGGGTCCATTCAAAAGCTCAATTCTGCATATAAATACCCTTCTCACCAACCCTTTTCCATCCCACCCTCAAATTAAAGCTCCAATTTGTTCTTCTGTTTAGTAATAAATCTCCATCCCAAAAGCCAAAAAAAAAAAAGAGAACTGAATAAGAGCAAATGGGGACACTGGTTGGGCATGTGGCACCTGGTTTTGGTTTCTTTGCAATTGGGCTGTGGCACCTGCTAAACCACATAAGGGTCCATGCTGGAAACCCAAAGGCAACCTACACCTCCCTCCCATGGTTCCCAACCCCAAGAATCAGATATTTGGAGCTTTTCTTCATCATATCTGGCTGCTTGGCCTCCATAGCCATGGAGCTCTTCATAGGCCCCGAAAGGCACCAGCCCTTCGACACCGACGGGACCATACCCTCCGACCATCTCCACAACTTTGAGCACTCAAACATCTCCATGACCTTCCTCGTATATGCCGTCCTCTGCATAGTCCTGGACAGGACATCTGCCCCTGCCCGGGACGCCCTGTCCTATTTCCTTGGGGCAGTTGCCTTTGGCCAGCAGCTCCTCCTTTTCCACCTCCACTCTGCTGACCATATGGGGGTTGAAGGGCAGTACCATTGGCTGCTCCAGATTGTGGTCTTTGTGTCCTTAGCCACCACACTCTTATCCATTCCCTTCCCCAACAGCTTCATTAACGCCTTTGTGAGGTCCTACAGCATACTCCTTCAAGGGGTTTGGTTTATGGTCATGGGGTTCATGCTTTGGACCCCGGGCCTCGTCCCGAAGGGCTGCTTCATCAGCTCGGAGGACGGGCACCAAGTGGTGAGATGCCATAGCCACCAGGCGCTCGAGCGCGCCAAGTCCCTCGTCAACATCCAGTTCAGCTGGTACGTGATTGGAGTGACCGTTTTCGCCGTCTCGTTTTACGTGGTGCTTGTCGGGTTATTATATGGCCATGAAGGGGAGTACCAATCTTTATTTGATGATGGCCAAGAAGAGGTAATTGCTGTGATGGAGGAGGACATTGAGTCTCAGAAGGGACGCAAAAATGGGGGTCCAAAGAGCTTTCTTGAAGCTGAGAAGATGTTTGCTTCATCAGAGATGGAAAGGTAGAAATTAAAGAGTGCTGATTAGCGTAGCTATGATACTTGCGTACAAAAGATGAACAGATTGAAGAAAATTACTCCGTTCAAGAATTGTTTATTATTATTAGCCTATTAGATAAGAATGAGGAAGATAAAACACATACTCCGTTCTATTTGTTTGTATAAACGGTAGAGAAAGAAATGGATTATAATGATGTTATTTTATTACTTTGAAGGGGCGGTTCGGGTGAAATGAACCCCCATGGGCCTCAATTAGGGCATCTGATGCTCCGTTCGAAAAATTGGTGGCTCCTACCACTCCTAACCCCCGGTAAACCATCCACCCCCGTCTGGTCCGAACACACCCCCGCACCCCGTCAATTGCATGCCACAAGATATAGACTCCAAAATCAACTAAATTTTGTGGCATGCAATTGAAGGGGTGCGGGGGTGTGTTCGGACCGGACGGGGGTGGAGGGTTTACCGGGGGTTAGGAGTGGTAGGAACCACCAATTTTTTAAATAGAGCATCGTATAAACCTCGGGTCATCCCATGACATTCAATGTCATGGAACCAAGGTGTACTTTGAATATTATGTTCCCTTTTAAGTTTCCCCAAACGTAATACAATGGAGTATGTTTTTTAGAACTATTGTTTTCATTACAATATACTCCTTTGGTTCCAAATCTCACTTCTCATCGCTCCAAAAAATATTTCACTTTTTATTAAAAAGTTACTTTAATTTTACTTAAGTTATTCTTATCTTATTTATCACATCATATCTATTAATTATTAATTTAACCACTACGTCATCCAAAGACATGTTTTGAAAGTCAACACTAAAAACATACTATCCTTAAGCCTCTTAAATGTCAATACAAGAAAGATTTTAGGGACGGAGGGAGTAATATTTTTTCAAGTTTATTTTTTCAATCGATTAAGAGAGTCACAACAATACCGCTAGAGGACAAAATTGTATACCTCCTCCGTCCTAAAACTTTCTTCCCGTTGCGCAAAATGAAGAAAAATCCCAAGTTTTTTCAATCTATTTTATTTAAATATTGGTATAGAAATAAATAATAAAACATACTCCCTCCGTCCCAAAAAGATCTTCCTGTTTTATTTTTTGCGCGTCTCATAAAACACTTCTATCCCGCCTCAAATGCAAAAAAAAACTTTCAAAAACAACTTCTACTTACAATAAATGAGAAATGTAGTAAATTTTAGACATTTTAGATGCATATAGAAGTGTTTTACAGGATGCGCAAAAAATGAAACAAGAAGATCTTTTTGGGACGGAGGGAGTACATATTTAAAAATTACATCAAAAGTTCAACAAAACAAGTGGTGACAAGAATATTTTATTTTATCATAGGCCATGAAAAAACACAAATAAATATAAATTCCCGTGAAGTTGGAATAGTGCTCTGGGAAGAAAGTTTTAGGACGGGGGAGTATATGTCACTCAATAATGGTAGTAGACGAAGGATGTAAGGTGGCAATGTGAAACCCAAAATTAAATCCTAGATGACTGAACACACTAATCAATTGAGATTGCATTTTCTGGTGTACCCCCATCAATCTGTGTGTCGAGTTCCACAGGGAAGTCGCCTCTCAGTATCTGAGCTTTAAACTTTAAGAAAACCTGGCTGCTCTCCATCACCTCAAGAATCAACGCATCTCCGGGTCTCAGATTATTGTCGTCCAAAAAGTGTCTCCATGTTTGAGTGTCCAGGCTTTTCTTGGTCTTGTTTCCGTACAGAGTGGTTTCCCAAGTGTTTTTCCCATGCATGATCACTGCTTCAACAGTTCCATTAGGGAGATCAGAGTACATTCTGGGTGGAAAGACCTAAAGGCATCATCAAAGAAACACCTGAATTGCCTCAAAGATGAACATTCAACTTTTTTAAAAAATATCGAGAAATAACTTCAATCTTTTACGTGTTTCCGGGCCTTGAGAATTCACACAAGTTTAAACCAAGTCAATGCAGTATATCCCACTCAAGAGAACGGACATTGGGGGGAGTGGAGGAAGATGATATCTATATTAGATTAGAATAAGTGTTCAAATTGCTGATCTATAAAGTGTACTGACCATTTGATATAAGGGTTTATTTTCTGAGATGACATGATCAAAAAAAGGTTTTCCAGAAAGAGGCTCAATTGGCACATCCTCAAACTCGGTCTTTTTTGCTGCCGTGCTTCTTAGATTTCTTCTCATTTGGTAAACTTTCCCAGCCAATGAGTGGTTTTTCCTGTTACACATAGTCAGTATTGCAGTGAGTAGTAACATAATAAAGATTACTCTCTTCCAATCTTATATAAATGCGTATTTCACGCCCCAAGTATCTGACTTCACTGTCTTTTATCCAAACTGTAAAAAAAACACAACAGTGTCTTGACAAAAAAAAGCAGATATCCTTGAATGAACTTTCTACAACGGACACGCTCTCCCTAGACTACAGAGCACAGCGTATTAGCATACATTCTTGCAATATGGAAAATGTCAGAGCAAGTAATTGCGTAAAGGGCAAATTAACCAAGCACACAATTTAGTCCTACCCTGCAAAATCTTTTCTTTCCACTAACAGAAGGGGAAGCAATTTAAAAAGCAAAACAAACCAAACATAAAAGAGAACAGCAGCAAACACATTTATATTGCATGACATACACAAGTCATATTTATATTCAGCACATGCATAAATATGACCCATACATGCACCAAGAAAAAATCCTTAAAACCGTCTCCCTAGCCGTCTTGTTTGAGTCCACCCAAAGGTACCACAGAAACCAACTATCTCCGTTGAACTGCTCAGAGGCATACACCTCTAGAATGGAAATTTAAGTCTACTTACATGCCCCAAGGCTTTCAAATGCAGCATAACGAATAAAGTGATGTTTGAAGGGTCACAAAACTTTCGCAATCCATGAGACTAGTTCCACACTGAGATTAATACCAGAGTAATTTTTAGTGGTTAGCCCACACTGAGATTAATACTGGAGTAATTTTTAGTAGTTAGCCCACACTGAAATAATGATAGTTAGCCTGCACTAAGAAAATGAATTAGGGTGTTTCTAAATCCACTCCTCTTTTTGCTATCCACGCCGTTTATCAAAAATGGACAACTTTATCCTAAAATTGTAAAAACAAGGAAACACAACATGTGGACTAACTTAAGGGTAAAATTGGACATTTGTTATAAATGAGGTGGATTTAGCAACACCCTAATAATTATTTTGTTTGTGAAAGTAAACAAACGTCACTTCTCTTGACATGGTTGCTCTAGGCCAAAGCTCCAATACACTTTTTATTGTTGCCAACATAGCTGCACATCGTCCCTATTTCGTAATGGAGCAGCCCAAGGAGAAACAACATGGAAATGGGTTCGATGGAGGAGGAAGGGATTCAAGGAGTGAGTTTACTGCTAAATTTATTTTAAATGCATGGGTCTGCTTTACAGATGTGCTGAACATAAAAAAATCCTTGTATTTCTGATGTTCAACGTAATACAAACCTGTTTGCTGTTCTTCTATTTTGTTTTTTGTTTTTTTTTGCATTTTTAAATTGCATCCTTCTCCATTCTTGGAAAGAATATTTCAGCAAGTATAATGGTCTATTAATGGCAGAAACATCTAATAATTTTGTTTTGTTAATAGTGCAAAGGAAAACTCTTTTGTCTAACACGTTTCACATCACAATTAACTACGAGTAAATTCTTGTTTCCGGGCATTTGGTAAGGTTGGAAGTTGAGCTAGCCAAGACTAAAGATGGAGAATAGAAAGTTATTCAGAATTAGTAATCAAGAGAGGTTAAACGCAGTTAGAAGAAGAAATGAATGATAACACCTATTTAAAGAGGTCTGTAAATTATTCACAAATGACAAACATAACAGAAAGAAAGGCAATTACTTTTCCCAGGCGCAAAACCTCTGTAAATCAACTCCAATGGCAGTTTGTGTCTGTAAAATTAAAAGACTCCGGTGCTGCGCAGCAAATTAAAAGTAAAACATAGCGTAATTTTCACGATGAGACAGCTATCTGAGCTAGACAGCGAAACCCTAGAAAGCGAGGCTTTAAGAAAACCATAGCTAGGGTAATGGAAATGGTTCCGAGTTTACAGGGACATATACCTGGAGCTTTTAGGAGAATTGGAGGCGGGTGAAAAGGCCTTAATGTAAGAAGAAAACAGAACAAAGCGAACAAAAGCTCCAGGGATTTGAATTTTAGAGGATGGCCCGGGTGAGAGTAGTGCACAATAAAGAGTTAGAAAAATGCAATTGACCGATAGTCTAACAAGGTCTATTACTGGAAAAGCGGAGAATTTACTAAATGCAGATGGTTTATTTCAGCCTCTTAATAATTTAGATGTCTCAATGGTTCAGGCAATTGCCTCCAAATGATTAAGAATTATACAGAGTCTGAATGGCTAAAACCTCTTATCTGAATTGATCAGACATTTGCCTCTGAATAGTTAAGCAATATACTAGCTCTTACTGGTTCAACATTTAATGGTTCAGACCTCTTACTGGTTCAGCACTTACCTATTCAGAAGTTGCCAAACAGCTCCTAAGACTTTCTCAATATAGCATTACATGTGTTTTTTCCCAATGTAGCATTTTTAGTTATTATCCATTAGTCATTATTCTAAGTAAATGTTACCCATCATTGAACATTATTAAATATTATTTAGATAATAAAACAATTTAAGTACTATTTAAGGAAATGACTTAGGTTTTAATACTATTTAGTACAAATATTTCATTATCCAAATCCTAATCGTTAGACTACAAACACTATTTGTTATTGTTGTTGTTATTATTCTTAATATATTCATAATATGAATAAAATTCAAGCACATGAATAGTATACATGTCATTTAATTAGGGATATAGAGAGTCGTATAATTATTGTTTTTAATTTAAAATATTGATGTTTTACCCAGGTCAATTTAGATTAATAGAATATCTCTGATTTTTGGAATATAGTTTTGTGTCATGTAAATTTAAAAAAAAATACCACTAAAATTACACTCCATATTATTTATATTAAAATGGAAGAAAAAATAATTATGAGTGTGAATCACCAAATAATGACATGAGAAAAATAAAAATTGAAATAATTTATAAACTAGAAGAAACTGGAAGGAAATATAATGAACTAGAAAAATTGGAATGAAAAAACTCGATAAAACTTTAAAAAAGTGAACAAATTAAAAGAAACCAGAAGTTAAAAGTTTAAGCTCTAAAGATCAAGCTTTTAAAGTGATAAAAATATCACTCACTATTTTTATTGTATGTAGTCAGCTTTATTTTATATTTTGTTTTATTTTACTTTCTCCATTGCGAAACTAAATTAATTATTTGATTCACAAAATTTAAGAAAAAGTCTATCGAAAAGTAAAATTTTGATAGATAGAATATATTTGATAGAGAGATTTGTTGAAAGCATAGTTTTAAAAACGGGACCGATGATTGAACTGGTCGAGGTACTGATTCACTGGTCGAATCAATGGTTCAAGTGATCGAACCAGTGGTTTAAACATATTTTATATAAATATAAATACGAATATATATATATATATATATATCCATATTATCAATCCTATTTTTAAATGTTAAGAATTTTAGTTTTAACAAAAAAGAAAATTTTTAATACATATTAATTCTTTTAAATATAAAGTATATATATTACTTGAAACAAATATATAACAAAATTACTTTTGTTCAATTGGTGAGTACCTTGTATCATGTATAAGAGGTCAAAAGTTTGAATACTAGGGAGTAAGGTTTTTGGCCAATTTTCGTAAAAAAAGAAAACTGGTTTGACCGATTGAACCGGCTGGTTCGAACTGGTTCGGTGCATGAGGCCGTCCAAAGGACCGGACCGATTTAACCTCCAGAGTCCGGTCTGAACCGGACGGTCCGGTCTGAACCGGACGGTCCGGTCCAATTTTTAAAACTATGTTTGAAAGCCACCTATTTTATTTTTTATTAATTTAATTTATCTAGTGACATTTTTATAACTTTGAATGCTTCAATGGCATTAAATAAACAAAAAAAATTATAGCGTCAAATGTGACAAAACCGAAGAATAGATCACTTTTGTATTTGCATTCCTAAAATTAATATGCCAAACTTTTTAGAACATATTAATATACTAACTTAAGAGAGGATAAGTTAATCAAATATTTGTGACAGAAGTATTATTATTTTAAATATTAATTCAATACTTTGTATGTTACAAGAATAGTTAACCCATATGATGTCTTGACCCGAAGTCTAGTTCTATACATGTACTATTTTATTTCCTCTAAAAGTACTCAACATATTAATTCCCCTTCAAAAATCAAACAAAGAAGACTTCCAAACTCGTCCTAACTTTTGCATTTAAATACCTTTATCCACTACTCGAGAGACACGACACTCGGTCATCGGATTGTCGTCCTTCGCTTTGTGACTCTTCCGACGTGCATTTTTTTGGTGCATTTGGTTCCGGTTGAGTTTCTAGTACTGACTCTGGTTCCTCGACATTTACCGAGTTTTGCAAATCGAACATCGACAGATTATTTCCGTACGATTGAAAAATCCACATCACTTGCTCGTTTGGCTCGAGACTGGACGAAGGAACGTTAAAATTGAAAGGATTCATGTTGAAAAAAATTGAAGATTTTTTTTAATTTGAAGAAGAAAGAGAGATGGGGAGATGTGTCGGTTTGATTCTTAAAAAATGAATGGAATTTATAGTATTGAAAATAATTGTTTTTAAAATAGCCCAACGGCTAATTTGGCCGTTTGGGCCATGAATTCCACGCACAACGGCTCCTCCTCCTCGTTAAACGTTTAACACATTAGGGGTGACGCCCTAATAACGCCGCAGGGGAGTAGTGTTTGACGTTGTTCTGGCGTTAAACGCAGGGTTACGCCCCCCGGCGTCATCCCCATTTCCATTGCTCTTACCGCAAAGGATAAGATCATTTAAGAAGAGAGAAACTATTAAAGGACTTGTAGATGCTAGCTTAAACTTAAGTCAATAATTTATTTATGAGTTAATTCTATGATTAGTGTTATCTTTCCTTAAATAATCGTTTTTTGATCTTCTGTCATATTGGTGTCAAGTTGAAGGTTAAAAATGTAATTTCACAATGATCATACATCTTATTTGTCATGCAGAATTTCAGAAGCTGCTTCTGATGCTTTGTTTGTGAATCACACAGTTATTGTTTACTACAACCATAGTCTAAAAAGGCGGTCTTTCATCGAAGCCCTAGTCTACAACCATTGTCATTGTTGTGTTGTCGTCTAACTGACATCAAAATAAACACTAGACATATAGTTAATGTCAAATTACACTTTTGGCTCTTAAATTAACATCAATATGACCGAAAGTTGAAAAAAGACTATTTGTAGAAAGATATTTATAAAAGAAGAATCATGTGCGTAATATTTAATAATAGATGACTAAATATGAAACACTCCTTTATAAAGCACTAGTTATACAATAAACTTTTTTTTATAGAACAATTAGGGAGTATATCAATGTTTAGAGCATTAGCAATGTCAGGGTAAAAATGAAATGACACGCGGTGACATGAAATATTTCAACCAATAAAAAATAACCCAATCATCATGTGACAAGTGAGCGGAGTATCGTACAGTGTCAAGTCATTGTTTTTGTCTATTTTTTGCATTTTTAATGATTTTTAATTACCAAAAAATATTTTACACATTAAAATATGTCTACTTCTTTTAAAAAATGTTTCTTTTTAAAAATTTAAAATATTAAAAGAATTGATAAATACTGAGTAAAAAAATAAGAGAGCTTTGTACATAGGAATAAAAATCTATGTGAAATGACAATGAAATACCATGGTGAATTTAGTAAATGACGATTGAATACCATGATTTGGGTGATATTTGGAAATAAGATATTGCCTAGCATTGCAAATGCTGTTTTAGACACCAATGAATGCTTCGGTCGTTTTTTTTTCAGAAAATTACTCGCGAGTGACGCGAATTTTGTCGAAATAACTTTCAGAGGTCTCTCTATTTTCAAAAAGACAACTGACATACCTGACCCAAAAACAAGCCCACCTCATGCTTCTTCACTTCGGGAAGGTGCCCGCCCTAATCGTTTCCTCCGCCGATGCTGCCCGGGAAGTCATGAAAACCCACGACCTGGCTTTCGCCAACCGGCCCGAATCGATCGTGACCAAGCGGCTTCTGTACGACGGCAAAGACGTCTCCGTCGCCCCTTACGGCGAGTACTGGCGGCAGCTGAAGAGCGTCTGCGTGCTTCAGCTTTTGAGCAACAAAAAGGTTCAGTCTTTCCATCACATCAGAGAGGAAGAAACGGCCCTCTTGACCAACAGGATCGAACAGTCCTCGGATCCGGTGAACTTGTCCGAGATGTTTGTGGAGCTGACCAACAACGTTGTCTGTAGGTCTGCATTTGGCAGGAAATATAGCAGTGAAGGGCAAATTGGGAAGCGTTTCATTCTGCTGTTGAATGAATTCCTTGTCCTGCTCTCCCTTATCAGTGTTGGGGATTTCATCCCGTGGCTGCGGTGGATTGACCGCGTCACCGGTTTCGATGCAAGAGCGGAGAAGAATGTCAAAGCCTTGGATGATTTTCTGGAAAGAGTGATTTCGGAACGCGTGGAAGGAGGGATATACAGGGAGAACTTTGTCAATGTTTTGCTAGATATTAACCGGGATAGCAATGCTACTGGTCTCTCAATTGACCGAGATAGTATTAAAGCAATAATCTTGGCAAGTGATTTCCCCTTCTGAAATAGTTTATCATTGTAACCTTTGTCAGGAAAACCCCGCTCGACCAAAAGCTCAAGTTTGTTGTTGTAGGCTCAGAAATGGTTTTATATGCTCACTTCGAACCCGTGACCTCTTATTAAACAAGTCTTTGATACCATGTCAAGGAATCAACTCAACCAGAAATTCAAGCTTGTGGTTGTAGGCCGAAGAAAGGTTTTATGTTCTAACAACCTCTTTCTGATTGGGTGCAACTTTAATTTGCAGGATGTATTTGCGGCTATAACTGATACCACAGCTACTGTTCTGGAATGGGCTATGGCGGAGCTCATAAGGCACCCCACGGTTATGGGGAAATTGCAAACTGAAGTGAGAGGAGTCATGGGAACCAAGCAGGACATGACAGAGAGGGACATAGAGAAAATGCATTATCTGAAAGCCGTGATCAAAGAAACTCTTCGCTGTCACATGCCAATTCCGATGCTGGTCCCACGAACATCGAGGAAAGATGTGAAAATAATGGGATACGACATTGCAGCGGGGACATTGGTGATGGTTAATGCTTGGGCTATCGGGAGGGATCCCGCGCTGTGGGATGAACCAGACAGGTTCCAGCCCGAGAGGTTCTTGAATTCTTCGATAGACTTCAAAGGACAGGATTTTGAGCTCATCCCGTTCGGGGCAGGGAGAAGAGGCTGTCCTGGGATTGCATTTGCCATGTCTACCAACGCGTTTGTGCTGGCTAATCTCGTGAACAAGTTCGACTGGAAATTGCCCCAAGGGACAAAAGTGGAAGACTTGGACATGACTGAGCGGCCCGGGGTTGCCATCCGTAGAGCCGTTCCTCTTCTTGTAGTTGCCTCCCGGTGCCATGGTTAAGTAGAGCACCATGGGGTAATGTAATTATAGGTTACATATTGATACTCCGTAGTACTAATGTGTTGTGTAATACTCCTACCCACAAGGGTTACTTGTGAAAGTTAAGCATATGAAATATGGCATGTCTAAAGATGGTCCTCTAATTACTAACTAGAGTGAGGTGTGCTACTGTTTACTACTTTGCAAATGTAGTCACTGTGCTTTTTTTGAATCATTGGATGGATCATCCAACATCACTTGTACCTAGAAATGTTTCTAATATATGAACTCTGTATCTTTAGTTGTGTCTTTTTCTATTTTGCCTACTTTTTCATCTAGATCTTTGGGACTTGTATGGTTAGAGATTGTTATGAGATAGAGTTAAAAATGATGTGTTGCCACTTGGGAAGAGGATGTTAGCTATCATAAAATTTAAATATGGCTTTTATAGTTGGGCCTGGAGTTCAATCATATTCGATCGGCTCGGGAATCCTTTTGGACATCACGATCTAGAATAAGAGTCTCTTCTTTATGGCTGGAAAAAAAGAATTATACGTTGAAAGAGATTGGAAAAAACTGAAAAAAACTAGAAAAAACTAGAAAAACATGAAGAAATTAGAAGAAACTAAAAAAAACTCGAAGAAATTGGAAAAATGAAAGAAACTGGAACAAATTAGAAAAAACTTCAAAAATATACTCGGTATTTAAGAGCATTTTACATAGCATTCTTATTATAATTGTTATTATTGTTGTTGTTGTTATTATTATTATTATATTTATAATAGATAAAGAAAGTGAATAAAATTCGATCACGTAAATTGTGTACTTCTCATTTAATTAGGAACAGAGAGAGTTATATAATTATTACTCCCTCCGTACCTATTTTAATTACAAAATGGGATTTACGAGGTAAAATCCCACAATTTTTGAAATGATTATATTTACAAATTGGTACATTAATAAAAAATAAATTTAAATATTAAAATACTACATCAAAAGTTCTACAAAAACAAGACCTGACAAGAATATTTTATTTTATCAAATAATCAATGAAAACCCACAAACAAACAAAAATTATCAAGAAAAGAGAGAATATAAAATTGTAATCAAAATGAGGATGGAGGGAGTATTTTTTAATTTGAAATATTGATATTTTTCCATGTTAATTTAGATTAATAAAATACCCATAAATTTTGGAACATAGTTTGATGCCCTGTAAATTAAAAAAACCATTTTCCCAATAAAATTCTACTGTGTATTATTTATATTAAAAATGGAAGAAAAAGTAACAATGAACGTGAATCACAAATCATTGACATAGGAAAAATAAAAATTGGAGAATTGAAATAATTTATAAACTATAGTTATAGTACTAATAATAATAATAATAATAATAATAATAACACATGAAAAACATGTTTGTAAAAAAACTGGGAAAAACTAAAAGGAACTAAAAAAACTAGAAAAAACTGTAAGAAACAAGAAAAAAATTGAAATAGTTTAGAATTAAGATTTTAAGTTAAAGAACACAATGTAAATGGTTTTACCTTTGTCACCACCCACTGCCTTCTCCTCTCTTCATCTCCACTATATGTACCGTAGACCTTTAGTATATTGCGTATGTGTTTCTTTGTGCTTATAAATTAGTCAAAATTTTTTATAAATAATTTTTAACTTATAAGTCAGCTCATGATATGCTTTGGTATGTTTATTAGCTAACTTATAAGCCATTTATAAGCCAAAAAAATAAGTAGGTTTTAGTTACTTATTTCTAAATTAGTTTTTTCATTTATGAATATTTCTAAGTAACTTATCTATTTCATGATAGAGTATCATATAAGTTATTTTACTTTATAACTTAAAAATTGTTTATCACACTTTGCACTTTGTTACCTTGGCTCCTCACCCATGGTTGGAATGACTTAAAAAGGTTATGGTTTTGCATTTATTCACTCTTTGCACTTCGTTGGTGCCTAATTATTATTTTTGATGTTTTACTTGTGAATTAAACAAGAATAACTACAATTTGAAACTAATTTGAATTTTATAAATTCAAAAATTAAAAAGGATTAGAATATATATGATTTTAAGGAAATGGGGTTCTCTATTGTAATGTGTTTTTAAGTTTGGATTCAAACATTGATTATAATTTGCATGTTAATTTGGTAAATCCATTAATTAGAAAGAATTTCGATTAATATTTGATATTTAAGAAATATGCTTCTCTAATTCTCTTTAGTTGTTTGAAATTAAACTACGTGCTACTTTTTTTTTTAAATAAAATTAGGATTCTCTATTGTAGTGTTGTTTTAATTTTTCTAAATCTTCACATTCTATGTAGAAAAACAACATAGGGCAACCCTTAATTACTTCCTAAAAGATGACACTACAATTCAGTGCAGGTTGATGAGAGTAGCAAGTGTCGATGGCAATCCGGCCATGTGCGGCTGCTGAATGATCAATCCACTATAAATCAGTTGAATCTTCAGCAACTTTTCTTAATTTAACCTTTCCATCCATCCATCCATCCGATTGGTATATATCTTAACGCCACATTTATCCCTTAATTAGCGTATTTTCACTACTCCAAGTTTTACGCATATGTTTTCTACTGTCTCCGATGAGTATCCATATCGATTGTAGACACGCATCCATTCGATCAATCAATTTACAGTTCTGCAGTAGGCGGCGACTAGGGGGGAAGGGGTACATGTCGACGAGGATTGAGGAATTGTGGTGGGAGATGCCAATATTAAACTAAGGGTATTGGTGTCTTTTTGTCCTTCATATTGGTATGTGTGCCGAATTGAAAGTGGAAATAAACTTCGAGATTGCCCCAAATTGGCAATCCGGGTGAGGCTGGGGGGCAGCAGCGGGAGAACATTGAAGAAATGTTTAGGATGTGGTTAAGAGGATATGAACAATCAATTTTATAATTGGAGCACTGTAGGTGCTTCAATTGAATTAGTGTCACCAAATGGTGTCATTTTTGTTGGTGTAACAACCGGTCAAATGGATGTGTGTTTACAATCGATATGGATGCTCATCACAAACAATAAAAACATATGCATATAACCGATCAACGAATGGGACTAGAAAAGTGCGGGCTGGAGTAGTGAAAATACGCTAATTAATGGATAAAATATTGTAAGGTATATACTGGTCGGATGGATGGAAAAGTTGTATTGAGAAAAGGTTGCTGAAGATTCAACAGAGGCAATATATGGCCGGACTGGAGTCATCCTCGAGATGAGGAGTTGTTAGACGCCTCGTTGCTCTTCTTTTTGTCGTTGTTGACGTCGCCTTCCGGCTTCTACGCCCAGCTCTGGTCATGCCTTCGGCACTTGCCAGTCTCATCAACTTGCTATGAATCGATCACGTCCATCGGAAAACCACGAACTTTTTCTGGCAGTACTATCCACGGGGGTATCTTATAATAGATCAGTGGAATATTTGTACAGTATATCAGTGTGATAGTGTGAATGGAGCTTGAAGCTCTATAGAGAAGAAAAATACTCCCTCCGTCCTAATTCTAACTTCCCACGTTGACTATATGCCATTTTTAAGGAAGTGTAAAATATACATTGACTTTACCAAAGTGCCCCTAAAGTCTCCCACTTCACCCAAAGAACACAAAGATCTGGAGCTGCAGATCTCCCACTTCTCCCACGACAAAGCACACAAAGAATCGGCGTTTGTTTGCCGCCTCGCGTGCCGGACGGATGTGGATTCGCCGGCAGGGACGGCGTCCGGCGAACCAGAAACAGATCTGGAGCTGCAGATTTGTCGGCTTCTTGCCATGACATGGATCCGAATAGCTTAGCTGAATCGGGTACGGATCTGGAGCCCTTTTAATTTTTTTAAGAAATACGACTTCCCCACTCTTAGATCTATGATTTTGAGAAGGATGGGTAGAAAGAAGGAGAGAGAAGAGAGACGCAGAGGATTAAATCAAGATGAAGATGGAGAAAGTGAGAGGAAGGAGAGATGGAGGAAGAGGGAGAGGGAGAGGAAGGAGAGATGGAGAAAGAGGGAGAGGGAAGTGAGATGGATCCGATGAAGGGGAAGAAGGCAGAGACCGAAGACAGATGGAAGACAGATGACAACAATTGAGAGAGGTTAAGGGTAATATAGTCTATTTACATCTTTTTTTAAGAAGTGGGAAGATTGTTTTAGGACGGAGAAAAAGGAGAAGTGGGAAGATAGTTTTAGGACGGAGGGAGTATGAGAGATGTAGTATGTTGGTCGTAAATGGAGGCTCCCTTTTTTCTTGGGTGTCATGCCTCTTTTATAGTGGAATATGAGTCTAGGGTTGGAGTTTCCTCAATAGGTTTATCTCATGGACTGGACCCAATATCTTACGGGCTCAGAAGGTAATACCTCATAATAATAATGAAAACGTGCAAATAAACAAAATTTATATAGCAGTATAAATCATTTGGGACAGAGCAAGTACAATTTTGTTATGATGACAGAAATTTGTTGTTTTTGCTTTTGTTTTTTTTCCCTTCCTTTTCTTCTAATTAAACCCAACCACATGTGTTTTATATTCTTAATCTTCGTCCAAGATGAGCAGAGACAGCTTCAACGATTTTTTGTTTTTGTCAACCTTGGTGTGCTCCGGGATTTAATTCAAACCCCAACGAGTAAAGGGAATTTATAACTTAATGGACAACAATTCAGTCAAACACCCCAAGTGCTACACCCATCTATGAATGGATGAAGTATTATATTATCCTACAAGCTGTTAGTTGATGTGCTGCCACACAGTATTGAGATGTAGACAATGCTATGGGCTATGGTTCACTGTCGGGCAGCCGGCTGAGTACAGAGTGTTTGGGTTTGTGATCGCACTCATAGTCAAGATGAACAAACGCTCGTTCTACTTCGGGGAGCTTCTCCAGCTTTATTTGAAGTTTCTCTCCTATGGTGTGAGCTTCTTTCAAGGGCAAATCTTCTGGGAGCTCAATATCAACCTATACACAGGCAAAGCAGAGATTTTGTGAAAGGACACCAGACAAAAAGTATGGAATGCAGACAGAACAGTACTAGTACTAAGGATTAAGGAATACACAATTACTGCAAGTAATTAGATGGACTATGTACGTCAAAGAGGATAGAATGGTTCGATAATGAGTGCGAGAAACCTCAACAAAGTAGAGGACCCCAAAAGTATATGCTCGGACTGTGTCAACGCGTTTCACTTCAGGGTGCCCAACAACTAGATATGTTAACTTCTGCAATACTTCAGGAGGGGCCGATCGCCCTACTAGTGACACTTTCATCAATGACAGAAATAGATCCATTAGTACCAAATTGAAATATGAGATGCCCTTTTTTTTTGGGGGGGGGGGGGTTGGGTTATGCTTAACAAGGTTTATATTGTTTAAAGATTCAAGCTTGTGCTAAATGTAACAAGTTTTAAATGCGGGATTTATACTGATGCAATGAAGAAATGAGTAAAAGAAATCAATGTATCTCCAGATTTTTTTTGGAGTTGGGCTTTTTTATTCTCTTTGCCTTAAGTATCCTATATATCCTTCTTCATGTGCTTAACCAAAGGATCAACAGAACTGACATGTGCATGAAACATAAAATGGAGTGAACTCCCACATAAGCAGATGGGTCATTAGTGTAGCACATTGTGTTACACGCTACACACATATCCATGCATTCATTCTCTTCCTAAAATATTATTGGTAACTTCCCTTTGGAATATTCCCTATTTATGTACTATCAGTAATTAAGATTGATTTTTATATTTTATCTTTATGAATTACCATGTATGCATTAGACGTGTATAAATAGCCAGTAATACTTTGTATTTCAGAAGAGCAAAATACAATAAAACGTTCCCGTTCAGAAATTCTATATGGTATATTCCCTACCCATATCTTCCGATTTTTATTTCCTGACACTAGAGTACTAGACATCATGCTCTACCGACACCCCAACCACTTCTTTGTGGAAGGAAAAGAAAATGAGAAGGCAAAATGTACTAAGAGGAAAGAAAACCAAATTCCTCCCATTTGGGCGAGGAAAATGAGGGGAAACTATTTTCTTTTCCTTTCAAATTTCTTGAACCAAACATAGTGTTACAGTATTTCATATTTATGTACTAGAGTATTCCCTATTTATGTATTTGTAATTAATGTAGATTTTTGGTTTATTGAATTCCCATGTATAGCGTTAGTCATAAGTATACATACCTTGTAATACTTTGTATTTCAGAAGAGCTAAAGATAATAACAGTTTCTGTTTAAAAAATCTACATTAAAGATTCAACCTTGGACTCAAGTTTCAAATGAGGCATTTATTTTTATACGAGCAAGAAATCAACAGAACTAAATATTGGGAGTTAGGTTTTATTATGTATTTAATATTTTTGCCCTACATTTTCTATTAACTCCATGTGCTTAAGCGAGGGATAAACAGAACCAACATTCCTGTCTCATGATATTCAGTATTCACGATGAAGACCTTCAAAAGAAGGTTACAGCAGAAAGGACATCAAATTTAAGACGTGGGCAATATGATTTTGGTAAGGATATATAGGGCAAATTAATTCTAAACATTTATTGACACGAAACACTATTTTATGTCACTGTCCCCGCCATGGTTAAAACTAAGGTGGTGATGGTGATGATATGATTATATGAATGCGTAATCATAGAACAGAGAAGGTAAATAATCACTGTAGAGATTCTTTCTGCTTGTTCAATAAATAATCCGTATGTAATAGCATTTCCAAGTCTCATTTTCATGAAACCTCTACCTAAAGATACCTGCATTCTCGAGGACGGTCCCAGACCAATTTACTATCGTGTAAATTGCAAGGACTATGGCCCCGGTTGGGTCAATCCACCAGGAGAATTTATCTCCAAGTACAGCTGCTACCAATCCTACTACATTTGTGACCACGTCGAAATAATGATCCTGAAATTTAATAATAAAAAGTTAGGCACCAGCACCTTCCAAAGAAATAATGCAACTCGAAGGCTAGTAATTTACCTTTGCATAGGCGCGAACAATGTCATTTCCTGAATTTCTACAGTAAATCCAAAGACAAACTTTGACCAAGGTGGCAGTTATCATGATGCTATAGAGCCATGCCAGCTGATCCGAGGACAAACTTTCAGAAGGTTTGTTTTCAAGAAGTTGTTCTACAGCCTGGACCAATACCTGAAAGCCTAATCAAATAATGGGCAAAAGTTATCTAGGAAAGCAATTCATTTTGCAATAGATCAGTTTTATCCTGTCCGAACATTGTTTGATGAACCACAGCAGAAAATCTTTAAGAAAGCTAAGGAAAAAATTGTCTAATAGACACCAATCTTTTGTAAGCATTCTTACTTTTGAAATGAAATTCCACTATTGAAAAGAAGCATATGAAATTCAGATTCCAGTATATTTATACATTCAGAGAAATCCGAAATGAGAGAAAGCAAGCCTTTTAACGAAAGAGCATGCTGATCCTGAGTAGAATTTGCAAGTTACATGCCAGTCAATCCACAAGCAAAGGCGAGATGTCTATAGCTTGGTAAAAAATGTACACTTGTTATTCCTTGTTTATGCTTTTAGAAATAAAGGAAAACAGGAGAATAAGAACTAATAGACAAAGCAACGGTTTATGAGGGAATAGCATAAAACAGTTCTCCATCTAATGGGTAAACAAGGAAAAATAATTGGTTCATAAACAGCTCCTATATGCTATTCCCATCATTTTCTTTTCATCTTGTGCACTTTTTTTTTCCAAAATCATCCTATATTCAATTTGTACCCAACTAATAAATTTGGCCGTATTCAGTAGATGGTCATTTCCACTTCAAAAACTGGTAGCAAACTATTTCAAGCACTAACCAACAAATTCTGACCAAGAGAGCTTACCACTAATTGCTAATGAAGCTAAATGAGTCATTTTTTAAATTTTGACCATTTTTAGCTTCGGGTAAATGGACTACATCAAAATGGCACTTTGAGCTTCCCTTACTTCTTTCTATGAAATTTTCGGCACTAAATGCATCAAGGGTTTAAGAGAAACAGCCTCTAGCTGGGATAATACTTCTTACCCTCATTTGGAGAAGGGTATGTCCACCAAATTGACTGACCAATAAACATTTTATGAAATTGATACTTTCTCGAAAACAATACTCATGCATAAAACACTATGTTCATCAAACCTGCTCTGATATTTTTCACATGCACTAGAAAAAAGTTAAACATATTGAGTTTGTGCCAAGGTTGACAGTGGACTAATAGTTAATGCCTTGAATCTTCATGCCTACTTGGTTTATGTCCCACTTCTTCGTATCCTTATTTCCTTTATAAATCCCTAGTCTATGCACTAGATATAGAAGCTCCTTAAACAAATTTCATAAAGAACAATGAAAAACTTAGCCCTCAAGCAAGTGACAGACCAAGTGTAGCCATGACCGCAGCAAAGATAATAATGCCTACTGGCTGCACTCTCAGTTTCCCAATGGGATATTGATAGATATTGAAGTCTTTCATTGACAAGTGAGTGAGCCATAGTATGCCACCAGCTATGACATCAAGTAATGAATCCAATGTTGATGCAGCAATGGCTAACGACCCGCTTTTCTTTGTAGCATAAATCTGCAAAAAGAAATGCTCAATTTCATCATGTTATCGTGAAGTGTTCAAAGCAAACAATATTCTACTCTCCAACCAGCTGTATAATAACTAATCCAGGAAAAATACACCCTAAACACTAGTGACACCTTGTTTCTTAAAAGACAAATCGATTTAACAGTATCAAAGACCAAACATATCATGTCAACTTGAAACTTGGAAGGCCTTCAAGTCATGTTAATATATACTCCGTATCACACAAATAAATTCCAATCACCTTAAGAACCAGTAATAATACATTTGTACAATTGGAAATCTTCATAGCTCTCTCATGTTGTGCTTGTCCCTCATAATCGTCTTGATCAATTGAGTTAGACGCACTCACAATATCAACACTTTCAAATGACTCTAATGTTGCAAATTGTCTTTCATAATATTCTTTTTCTCCTGCAATTAGGCAATCCTTGAATCATTGAAAACAACATAAGCAACAAAGTAGCATCTGCTTAAAGATTGAAATCCCAAAAACTGCACCTAAAATCTACATTTGAGTACCTACAGATGTATGCCTCTAACATGGTTACAATCATAATTAGTTTCCATGTTATACCAATTCATCCGTTGAATTTCATTACTATGCAGGAAAAAGTAGTAATAATCACAGTACGTCAATTGGATAAATGATGAACAACCCTCAATCGACATTCAAACCAGAAAGAGGGGGGGTCAGAAAGGGCACCTTTCGTCAAGGCAGAAGATTTGGAGAGGTCGAGCGGAGAAGAGGACTCGAGATCAACGCAGCAGCGGACCTTTTCCGGGAGACGTGCCAGGAAATCACTGCGGAGAGAGGTGACCGAGTTCCGCCTGGCAATCTGGCGGCTACGCCTCCCGCGTCCTCCGAGCTTCCCGCCGTGCAAGAGAGTCGATTTTACGTCGTTGTTCGGCTCCTTGTTCATCATTTTCGCTTTCAATTTTCAAACTTCAACTGAATCCCACACAGAACCAGAAAAAGTGACAACTCGCCTATGTATAAATAAATAAGGAAAATGCTAAGGTGGCAGCTAGGTGCACGCTTCCCACAGATAAACACGCACAAACAATTATTGTTTATGTTTGTCTGTGTGAAGCATGGGTGCCCACCCATGTGGTGGCACCCTAGCATAGTCCATAAATCAATTATAATGTTTAATCTTCTCCAAAGTGATTAAATAATTGTTTATATAATCTGAATATCTGATACTAGAAAATAACTTGTAGAAGATTGGATTTGTACCGCGAATAGTTTTCGCCGGTAGTGTTTGTTAGGTTAGTCAAATTCGGTTAAGAGGAAATTCCATTTTCCTTACAAGTTCTTTTATAATTTACCCCATTTTTTTTATCTAAAAATGACCCATAAAAAAAAATATTAAAATACGACTTTGCACTGTAGTAATGTGGCAGTGTACATGTGCACATTACTATACTTTTTTGGTAATGTAAATGACCATGTTTGGTAATGTAAGTCCTATTTCGTGAACAGAAACATGGAAGTCCTATTTTGGTATATTTTTTATGTTTTAGTCCTACTTTGATCTTTCTCCCATTTTTTGCTCAACTTTCAAATATATAATTTTATATTTTTTACTTCGGATAAAACTACTTGTACCCCAAGGATATGTATCTCATTTGTACACTGCAGGTGTGCACCAACATTTTGTGTTGGTGTAATGCTAATTTTTGTTAACGTACCAACACTTTGTGTCAGTATAAATTTTTGTTAACACATCAACACTTTGTGTCAGTATAAACCATCAAAATGTTGGTGTATACTTTTGGTGTAAGTTTGGAGTACAAACATTGGTGTAAATGTAGTATGATCCTTTTACTTCTCTTGATCTTCATGTCAGGTACAACATGGAACATTATTTTGAGACCGATACTAAGTTATAATCCTTCTGTCTCATAATATTTTTCTTGTAATCTTAATATGCTTGAGCAAAATGATGAAGATTTGTTTTAAGAAAACGATAATGAAACATCTATATTCTCACAATCAGGAAGAGCACTAGGGGCTAGTACTGTTAGACATGAGTTCAAACCTATTTGTATAATTTTTTGTAATACTCCGTATAATTTTTTCAGATTTTGTTAAATGACAAACACACGACAAACAAAATTTTCTACGTTGGATTAAAGAAAGTAAAGAAGCGTTCAAGAAATAAAAGCGTTTATTGAACAAAGAATCCCAACGTAAATTTGAATTGAAGTGAAGATTCCTTTGAATATTTTTTATCTTGAGTCTTAGGAATATAGGTAAGGATGCCACACTCAAACAAATATTAATTTTGAGGGCATATAAAAATTAAGTTATTTTTAGTCAATTGAAAAATAAATTTTTCTCTGTATAAAAATATCTTTATTGAGTCTGTAACACCCTAATCCGTCCAGGTTTGTAGCCCCTTTCGGACCAAAGTATTAACTTGGTAATCATAAAATTTAAAACTTTTCAAACACTTTTATTTATCACAATAATATTTTTCATAACATATACAATACGGAGTATTCAACAATATTACAGAAGCAAATTTAAATAATGTCATATCATTATAAATCATTTAAAACTTGTCACATCCATCCCGACAATCTCGCCCCATCTGCCGTCAGAATAACATTGTTCTTTCTGTTTACCTGCGTGTAGCAAATAAAACATACTACACGCTCATCGTTGAAGTTGAGTAAGCATATCTAATGCGTCGAACATCCATACAAACTGAATCTAAATTCATAATCAAATCATTTGATATCATTCACACAATGTTCAATTCAAACATTCACAATTTTGATATTGTTCAGTTCATATCAACATATTTTATTATAATCAGATATTATTTCGAGAGTGTTCTTAAATTATTCTTAATTTAAGGCCAAATAATAACAATGCTCTTAGCTATTCTTAGTCTAAGGCCAAATCATAACAACACTCTTAGCTATTCTTAGTCTAAGGTCAGATCATAACAACGCTCTTAGCTATTCTTGGTCTAAGGCCAGATCATAATTTCATTCTCAGACGCTTAAACTATAACTTGTTTAAGACAAACAATTCTCAGACGCTTAAATCATAATCAGTTCAAGGCAAATCATTCTCAGACGCTTAAACTATAATTAGTTTAAGACAAACAATTCTCAGACGCTTAAATCATAATCAGTTCAAGGCAAATCATTCTCAGACTCTTAAACTATAATTAGTTTAAGGAAAACAATTCTCAGACGGTTAAACTATAATTTGTTTAAGGCAACAACAAAACAGTGATTAATAATCATTCAGTCGGGTTATATCCAAACGAGTGATCCTCTAGTTTGGTCTACGAATCCCGTTTATACGTTTTTTCCAAATCACCAAATATTCATATTTTCACAAGTCAATTCTAATGTGAGGCCTATCTTAGAGGTCTTCTAGATAGCCTTAACATCAATTATCTTAAATGAGTATATCTTAGTGTTCTTCTAGATACCCTTAATAATACACGTCATTTCATAATTATCAATGTATTCATTTTACTCATGGTTCAATCATCAATAAGCATTTTAATCAGTAGGTTCATCATTCATAATCATCCATAATTATCATTTATCATAATCATCAATCAACATAACAATCGATAGCAAATAGCGACCTAGCTCCAGATGTTAACACCATAGCTTACCGTCATGCACCACATAAGGTTTTTTTTGTTGTCAAAACATCATTTTTATTCCAAGAAAACATCTTTATAATAATCATAATTGATTGGCATCAAAAATAGGATTTTAGAGCTCAAAAAATAGTATTTTTGGAAGTATTTTCGAAGCAATCAGGTCGGGGGATCGATCCAACACTTAGGATCGATCCACCGTATGGAATCAATTTTCATAGAGTAGACTTGAGTGATGGCCGTAGGTAGTGGCTCAAAGTCCTAAGATAAAATTATGGATACCGAAAAATTGGTCTTTGATATTGAGTTAATAACATATGCAGGTGAAGAACCTAGGCGAGCAATATGACGTATGATTGTTATACCATAGTTGATATTATTTGATAATCGTTATGTGATATTATTAATGTTGTACTCTTGTGCATGATATTGCATGAAATTATGAGCTAGCGAGTTCATCTATATGCATGCATAGTCGAACGTTAGATATTTCTCATTTAGCAGCAATGCTGAGCATGTATCGTATGTTCTCTTGCTACATGTAGGTAATAGGAATGACGATTAAGGAAACAATTCTAAAGGACAACGCGGGTGAAGAGATGAATGGATGTCGGTTGAAGGAGTTTACTTAATTAAATATATCATTTGAATTATTTATGTTTCCAGGTAAGAACCTAAAATTGTGTTTGAATTAAGCACTTAAAGCTTTCGCACCGTTTTTGTTAACTCCGATGGATTTATAAATATTGTTTTTAAATTAAATGTTTTAAATTGTTTTGAAAACTATTGTGTTTGGATGCCAATCTGGTGATAACTCGATTCGCTAGTATGTGCATTCGGGTTACGCGGGTCAGGGTGTTACATAGCATCATCTTCCAGGTGAAATCATCTTCCAAATCATCGGTTCCCAGTAAGATGAGGAAATGATGCTTACATTGGTGGCACGAGGAATATTTCTCGTTACAATTCTAGCACAGCCCCTTTGTCGGGCGGTCCTCCCATTCACTAAGACAAGGCGGCAAAAACGAATAGAGGTAGAGACCGAGCGTGAACAAGATGTTGCGGTTCTTAGGCCAGCTGAGGTATCCGCTTCTGGATCGGTAGAGCCTGGATAAAAGGGCGTTGAGACGAAAGCCGAACCTGTACGTCTCATGCATGTAGACAAAAAGGAGATGGTACTGTTGTGATTTGCTACGTGTTCTCAAGCAAGACCGAAGGTTTGGCTAAGGGTGGTAAAGCCCCGAAGATTAATCTCCTTCTGGAGATGAGCTTTCAAGTCAGAAACAAAGATAAAATCATGGTGGATTCCGGAACTTCTCTTACCTAATTCAGTAAACATTAAAACTCCTTTTGATAATCCTAAAATGTAGTACGTTGTTACAACTTAAAGGAAACTCCAAATAATGCTCATAATGAGTAGGATAAAATTGTTGCTCGACGGCCGTCAAGAACATAGGCCATGGCTGCAAACAATTATTATGACGCAAATATAAAATCTATTTAGATGCACTAGTAAATCTACGCCTAGTGTACCAGGGACACCTGCCTCGATCAATTTTTTTAAATAAATAGTATAAAAAATAAAAATTTATAATAGATTAGTGTGTGTCCCTGATGAAAAATATTATGTGCCCGTAGTAAAAAAAGTCCAAAATAAAAAATAACTTTTTAAATATAATATAAAAGTAAAATATATAAAATATCATATTTATTTTAAGTTAAGACATATTTATTATTGTACTTTTAAAGCAATTCTTTTACTTATTTGAGTCATTGTAAATTCACTAATTTTTCATCATTTTAAATTGGTATTATAAAAAATGGGGATGTTCCACCCTACCCATTACTATAATGGTGTCCCTAGTCATATTTATTTTTGGATTTGCCATTGTTCAGATGCTAGACTTTATAATAAAAGGTCCGCGAGCTTCAAGCATGTTCCCTTCGCATTTGAAAGTAATCAAAATAAGATTGGACTGTAAATGTGGGATGCATGAATGGACAACATGAATTAGGCGGAGGGGAACCTAGTACCCCTTTGCCCATGATAGATTCTCATGATTAAACTCCAAGGTAGAGTATACTTGATCTAATGTTTGAGAAAGATCCTGGTAGTTCTCACGAGTGGTGCGTATTTCAAGGGCAAGGTGACATACTAATTCTTGCGAACACACCCTCATGTTTGTGACTAGACGTCAACTAATGAAAAGGGTTATCACCGACGATGGATCAGAGTTCAAGATGATGAAAGCACCATTTGCTACGAGGTGTAACCCTAGGCAAAAGAAGAGGAAGAAGAACGACGCAGGGGGGAGAAGAATTATGTTGAGATGAGACTAAACTACGAAGGGGTTCCCATGACATTTGAACCTCATGTAATGGGATGACTCGGGCATGCTACGGTGCTCCGTTAGTAAAATTGACGTTTCCTATCCCCCGGTAAATCCTCCACCCCACACCGACCCGAATACACCTCCACCCCCTTTAGTTGCACCCCCAAGTTAATTTTGACTTTGGAGTTTTGATTCCAAAGTCAAAATTAACTTGGGAGATGCAATTAAAGGAGTGAGGAGTGTGTTCAGGTCGGGGTGGAGTGGGGGGGGGGGTATCAGGTAGTTAGGGGGGTAGGAACCGCGAATTTTACAAACGGGGCGCCGTAGCGACCCCAGGTCATCCCATGACATGGGGTACCAATACCATGAGACTCATCCACGACTAAAGTATTTCTTATAATTATTTTAGAGTAACAACATCCCTTTTTTATAGTAACAGAATCCTAATCTTCAAAAGAGCTTATAAGTTTTGTTAACCTAATATAACCTAAATTACAATAAATGAGAATTAAATCAAACATCATTTTTAATCCATGTCAGAGCCTTGGTAGTCTGACCTGGCCTTCTTAGTACAAACCCACACTCATCTTCGGCATCACGACCCGTAACAAACCTCTGCTTCATGGCGAAAAAACGAAAAAAACACCTAGACACACGACGGAAAATTACATTAAGAGTAAATCAGATCAGATTAGACTAGATCAGATAAAAAATTATTCCAATGAGATAAGAACATACTCATTCCATTTATTAATTTCTTTCTCACTTTCCTTTTTGGATTGTCCAAAAGTTTCTTTCTCGTTTCCTATTTTGGTAAATAGAAATCATCTTAAGTAGGACTAGAAAAGTACCAAAATAGGATTTTCATGTTTTTTTTTTCCGGAATAGGACTTGCACTGTAGTAATGTGACTTTGCATTTTGGTAATGTGGCAGTGTACATGTTCAAATTATTATACTTTTTTGGTAATGTATATGACCATGTTTGGTAATGTAAGTCCTATTTCGGGAATAAAAACATTGAAGTCCTATTTTGGTATATTTTCAATGTTTTAGTTATACTTTGATCTTTTTTTCCCTTTGGTAAAAGCTTTTAATAAATATACCATTATATCTCCATATTTTATCTACACTATTCACTTTCTTTTATCACATCAAAATAACATATGAAAATTCTTTATACTTATTAATTTTTTTTAATTTTCGTGCAAGTCAAATAGGATTTCTTTCAGTGTTAACCCCTCCCCTACAATTCCACACCCCCACCGCCCCTCGGTCAATATGTATACAGTATATATAAACTCTAGATAAGTGAATCGAGTGCGCACATACAGGCACAAGTTTGAAATTCGATGGAGTTCCTCCTAGCGAACCTCTCTCGTGTTCGAATTCCAGAGCCTACCTCCCGCATCTACAAGCACGAGTGCTGCATCTCATTTGATTCCCCGGTAATACTTGCATGGCCTTTGATCTATCATGTGTATACATTCATTTCCCTCTTCACATTTGGTCATGTATTCCTGGTGTTTGCGAGCCCGTTTCTCCTTTTCTGATTTCTTGATCTTGTATTCATCTTTTCAGTCAGAAATGCTTCGATGATTTTCCTCCGGTGGTAGTAATATTAGATTTCACTTCTCTTTGAAATTGTTAGGGTTTATCAGTTCTCAATTTTGATGTATATTTACCACACGACATTATTGTGAAACACAAGCTGCGTTTAAACAAGTTGCTATTGAATTGGGATCAAGAATTGGCTGTTATTGTTTGCTACTGATGCTGACTTTACCTTCCAGAAAACCGAGGATGGGCTCTTTGTTGACCTGAACACTTTTTTAGCATTTGGAAAGGAGTACGTAGGTTGGAACTATGAGAAGACAGGAAACCCAGTTTATTTGCATATTAAGCAGAGAAGGAAGCCAATTGCTGAGGATAGGCCTTCCAAGAAACCAACTCTTTTGGCTATAGGTAGGCTTTGTCTCTACCATAGGTTGAGCATACTTTAATTTACTCTGCATAAAAAGTGCTTACAGTAGTAGCATTAAAATTGCAACTCCAGTTTGAATTTTCTCTTTCTTTGACGTTAGTAGGCATCAATCCTTGTAAACTTGGAAAATGCAATTCCGTTTTAAAAATGGAAATGATAAGCCTCTAGGTGTACACTATCTTTATAATCACATTTTTTCTGCTGTTGGTGTGCTACATTAAATATCTATACGTGAACATGCAAAATTTTAATTATTCCTGGATGTGCTATAGCATAAATGCTCTCTTTCTATTATTTATTATTTTTATAATTCTAAGCATATGCTTCAAATAAAAGAGAATATCTTTTGGACTAGAGAATAAGGGATCAGCTTTAGGATTAGAGAATGAGAGATCAGCTTTAGGTCTTTTCTCCTGTAATATCATGACCAAGTTCCCTAAGAAAAGTAATTGGTTTTCTAGTTGTTTTGTTCAGTTTCTGATTTAAAGGATTAGCTGTGTAAATGATAGTGGTATGCATTTGTTTCGTGAGAATGTGTATCTTTATTCTATTTCTATATTCAGAGTCATTTAATAACTGTTACCTTGATAAAGATAATCCATCTACTGTTTGTGTTTCTCTTTCAAGGTCTTGAAGGGGGTTTTAATAACAATGAGTCTGAGTATGAGGAAAGCTATGAAATAGTCTTACTGCCAGATTATGTTACTCTTCCATTTCCCTCAGTTGGGTTGCCAGAGAAGGCAAGTGTACCCTTTTCTAATTAGCATATATGCATACATGCGCGCCAACGCAAAACAGTGTTCTCCATAGTGACATTTGGTTTTGGCTCCTATGCAAATTTGCAGGTAGAGTCCGCTGTGCGTGCTGTTATATCGGCTGAGAGTGCTGAGAGGAGAGAACAAGTTGCTGCCTGGACAGCTGATAAGAAGCTTACTAGTAAATATGCCATGGAACTACGGCAACTTGACAATTCTGTTGTTATCCCTCCATCAGGGTGGAAGTGTGCTCTATGTGATAAGACTGAAAATCTTTGGCTGAATCTTACTGATGGCACAATCCTCTGTGGTAGGAAAAATTGGGACGGAAGTGGTGGTAACAACCATGCTGTTAGCCATTACAGAGAAACTGGTTATCCCCTTGCAGTCAAGCTTGGAACAATAACTACTGATTTAGAGGGAGCAGGTAATGTCACATTAAATTTAATGACAAAAGAAGAGGCTATTTTCCTTGTGTTGGGCATGGAACTCCAACGCATAAGTTGATTGAGAATAAAATGTAATTGGAACTAAATTATTGCTTACTCCTTCCGTCCAAACAAAAGGTTCCCATTTGACTCTTTGTGCTCAAAATTTGTAAACATTGATCATTAAATTGAGAATCTATTTATTGAATTATAATGTAAACTTGATATCATAGGTTCATCCTCAAGTATTATCTTGAAATATCATACTTTTTATAAACTTTATTTATATATAAACAATAAAGATATTAATGATCAAAGTCTTGCATTGAAGATCATGAATAGTCAAGAAGGAACCTTATTTTGGGACAGAGGGAGTATCAAAACCAAGTAGGTAACACATATTCCTATATTTTTGAATGCATGGTGCTGATTTAAATGTACTGTTCATGAGTTTTATATTGTGGCAGCTCAGATGTTTTTTCTTATCCGGAAGATGATAGTGTTTTGGACCCACTTTTAGCACAACATCTTGCTCATTTTGGAATTGATTTTTCTTCCTTACAAAAGGTCAATACTCTTCCTTTGAGAAAGTTGTGTACATATTCAAGGCACAAAAAAAGTTGTGTACATATTCAAGGCACACGAAAACTGCTACTGGAATGATTGCTATATTATTCTAAGACACTTTATAAGAATGTAAAATTATATGAATTATGGGTATACATTGGGTGGGTGACTAGGCGAATACTAGGCATCTCGGTTCGTTCGCCGTGCCTGGAAGACATTAGGCGTCATCTCGCACCGACAATGCCATCGATTAGGTGTCATGCAATGCCAACTATGACTTTTTCCTTTCATTTTGAAGTAGTCGCCTACACGGGCTATACAAATAGAAAATGTTGAACCCCAAGCTACAGCACATCATCTGTTGGCAAAGGCTCACACAATAGACTACCACGAGTAAATAAATTGAGAAGCAATAACATACATCACAAACATACACAACCCACACAAGTACAAACACAAAAGCAAAATCAGAGGGAAAGGGGATGGTACTCCCCTCCTTGTACCAAGCTTTTCATGTCTTGTCATGGCAAACTATCAATAAAGACCTGACCATCTTCACCACAACTGGCTTTATACTCTGACGTAACACCTTTCCCTCCATCGATAAAGCCGGAAAACCCTTCCACTATATTTGACCCAAAGCATTTCCAGATAAGGAGCTATTTCAGTCTGAACTATCAAGAGGGCCATTACACATGGATTGAGGGTCAAATTTCGGGAGAGACATCAAAGTACTTGCATTTAAGGATGAATTAGGACTGGTTTCACATCTTTTGCACAAATATCTGAAATGTAAAACTAAGGAAGGGTTCATAGGCCAGGAGTAGAGGATAGATTGCTTTTGAGATCTTCACTAAGGAGTTCAAAGGACGGGGTTGTCAACAAAGTTCACAGCGTAGCTCCTCTGAGTGGAAGGTGAATGAATCAGAGGGAGTGATAGGGGTGCGGGGGATAATGGAAGAGGAAGAATATAAGGTTATGGAGAGGGGTGGCTATGACAAATGAGGGATGTGCAATGGTGGATATGAAACAGAGTCTGGACTGTATCAGGGTTTCAAAAAGGTACTGGAGGTGTGGAGTTAGAAAATGGGGGGGGGGGAGAAAAGGTGGGTTCGTTATAACTTATGAAAGGGGATGGAGTAATAAGGGTCGAAATGGGAAATACATAGGAATGTAGGTAAGTGTATTTTAGACTTTAGCTACCAATCTCTTTGTGTAGAGTGGCAGTGTGAATTTAACTCTAGGACATCTTGAAAAAGAACGTGGGAACTTAGTATATCTCCACTAAGTTCACTTATATGTATTTATTATTGTGACAGTTAAGTTCCCACATTTTGTCCCCCAATTAAATTGAATCCGGAATTCTTGGTGTTGTCAGTTCTACTTAGCACTTCATGTCTTGTCTTCTAAATGCTTCTGCTAATAGTCAATCTGAGTGGTGCCACCACAATTACTTTACATATCATAAGTTTGAAGTAACTGAACAATTTTCTTTTCCGTTTTGAATTTCTCTCATAAAGACTGAAATGACAACTGCTGAGCGAGAACTTGATCAAAATATCAACTTTGACTGGAACCGGATTCTAGAAACTGGACAGGAGGTTGAGCCACTATTTGGACCAGGATATACAGGACTTGTCAATCTTGGCAACAGGTATTGCTAGTAATGTCGCTTAGCAGGTTTCTCTAAATTATCTATTGTGACAGTTACTAAATGTGCATGCAATTAGGGTTTCCACGAATTGATCATAGCTCCTCAATATTTTTAATGTACTTTTAATATGTTTCAAATCTTCCCTGACAGTTGCTATTTGTCCGCGACAATTCAAGTAGTGTTTTCAACGCGTTCATTCTGTTCTCGGTAAATTTGTGCCTCATTTAATTTATGGGGTGAACTCCTCCATACACATGATATTGTTACTCTTATTTCCTGTTAGGTACTTTATCTGGAAAAGCCTTTCTTTTCACTTTTTTGATTGAACGTTTCGTTTAATATCATGTTAGGTACTTTCTCGAACAGAATCTTAAAACAGCTTTTAATATTGCTCCGGCTGATCCAACTGTAGACCTTAACATGCAGCTGTAAGTTTTAGCTAATAATTGTATAATGAACATCTGTTTTTCCAGGAACATTAACTGTGTTCCACAGGAAGTTTTAGAAATAAACTTCTGTTGTATTTATGAGACTGTTTTTGATATGTTTCCTTCCTTTATCTCCCAGGACAAAACTTGCATATGGCTTGCTTTCTGGAAAATATTCAGTTCCGACGATGATGGTTTGTAGGCCACACAAACATTTCTTGCAGGCGTTACTCCTATATTTCATGATTAACATGCATATCTTTAAATTTTGCAGAATGATCCTGCAAAAATGGATAAGTCTAGCTCATCACCGGTATGCTTTCTCACACTTATTTGTTAAGTTAAGATTCCAAGATGTACATTTCAAATATATTTAAATATATGCTTCCTTTTACACACCTTTTCTCATTCTCCAGAAACAGGAGGGTATTTGTCCACGTATGTTCAAGTCAGTGATTGCTGCAAGCCATCCTGAATTTTCAACTATGAGACAGCAGGTGTGCTCACACAGATGTTTGAATGTTTAGAAGTCAACCAATTTTTGCTTTCTTATATGAGAATGATAATTGAGAGAACTTATCTTTCTAGATGCTTTAGAACTTCTTGGTTCATATATATGGTCCCATTTGTTTGCGATTAAGAGTTGAGACTGTTAATGTTTAGTTTTTCATGGTCCCTTAATCTTTCTAGATGCTTATGGTTTTTTTAAATTGATTGATAAATGCTTGATTATTACTGTAGTTGATTGGTCCTTTGTTTGTAGGATGCATTGGAGTTTTTCCTGCATTTTATCGATCAAGTTGAACGAATGAATTCTGGGAACCCCAAAATTGATCCTTCTAGGAGTTTCAAATTTGGTATTGAAGAACGTATACAATGTCCTTCTGGTAAAGTGGCATACAACCGGAGGAATGATTATATCCTCTCTCTGAATATTCCACTGGACAAGGCTGTTAACAAAAGTCAGTTATCTTTCTTACAGTTTTGTTTATTGCAAAACAATCTCAATCTTAATTCTTAAACTTTATCTTCTGGAATTTTAGAAGAACTTGAAGAGTTTCAAAAGTCTAAGGCTAGTAAGGCTGCAGAGGGAAAGGAAATGTAAGTTCTGGTAAGCATAGAACATGTCTTTCAATTTCAATCTTGCTAATTAACACAATTTTCTCAGGCCAGCAGATGAAATTGTTCGCCCAAGGGTGCTATTAAAGGATTGTCTGGATTGCTTTTCAGCTCCAGAACAGATTCATGATTTTTACAGCTCTGCCTTGAAAACAAAAACTACAGCAATCAAGTGATCATTTATTCTGTCTATCAGTAATTTAAGATTTTCTAAGACAATCACCCGATTCTCATTACTCACTTGTTTCTCTTATAGAACTGCTGGTTTAACTTCTTTTTCTGATTATCTGGTCCTACACATGCGAAAATTTGTCATGGAAGAAGGGTGGGTTCCCAAAAAACTAGGTATACTTTTCTTCACAAGCTATCTTTTGTTTGTAATGTGCACCTTTAATTGCCAGGATTTAATTCCCTCCTTCCGGTTTACATTTGTAGATGTCTATATTGATGTTCCAGACATCATAGACATCAGTAATATGCGCAGCAAGGGCCTTCAACCTGGTGAAGAGCAATTACCTGAAGGTGAGTTGTATCAATTTTGTTATTTCTCAAGTTAACTAGTGAATAATACTCTGAGCATATCTTCGTGCACACACACATTTTCCATTGCTATCTCGGCTTCTCTTCATTCCCGTGCACAACCACACAAATTCAAATGTTATTGCATTTCAACATTGAAAATGTTGTATTTTATGATGGTCACATGTATGATAGATTATCTGCAACATGTGATTATCAATCAAAATGGCAAACAGAAGCATTGACTTCAAAAGTCCCCGATTGGATTATTTAGAGATTTTTTGATGCTCAACATTTATTTTGGGTTGAACCAGCGGAACTTAGTCGCTTTTGTGGTGCTCAACATTTATTAGTCTTTACTCACTTGTTTCTCTTACATTGGGTCAAGCATGTATTCTGTGTATCATTGGAAAACAACTCAGGGTAAATATTCTGGAAAACTACTAACAAGAACAGTATTGTACGCATTGGAAACAAGAGTAAATATTGTTCTTGTTAGTTGTTTTCCACTCTAGTTCCTTTAAAAATTAACCAAGAATTTACGCATCTTCGGAATTTCCACATTTGGTCCTTCGGTAGACACTACGGATGCTATGTGTAAAATGTGGGTATTTTTGTGATTTCAATCTCATTCTTTCTATAGCGTCTGTTCTCACCTTCGTTATTTCAAAGGCTTCTATGAATCTATGTATCATTATCACATTTTCTTTTCTAATTGTAGTGCTTCTACCATGGACCTTAGGTCATATAACAATGTATGGACCTTCTCATATAAGCAAATTAATAAAAAATAAATTAAATAAATGTTTATGAATGCTATTAGCCTAGTATAATGAATTTTTCTGGTGTTCGTTAAATAGTACTCCTATCCGATAAAAAGAGTCACTCTTTCCAGCATATTTGTCTCATAAAAAGAGTCAAAATTTTAATAAACATTTTAATTTTCATCATATCATATGTTTTTAAATATAGAAAAGAATGCAAAGCAAGTTAAATATTCTAAATTTAGTTAAACTAACAAATAAATATGAAATATAACTGTATTTGATGATTTTTACTAGTTTTACCTCACCAAATATAGAAAGTGTACATTGAAGAAACATGATTCTTTTTGGGACGGCGGGAGTAGTATTCAATGGAAGTTGAATTTAACATCTGTCATTCATGTTGGAAATAGGCCTCGAGGATATTAAGGATCAAAACCAGCCTGTAGCTGATGAGGATATTGTTTCTAAACTCATGTCAATGGGATTTAGTTCTCTTCATTGTCAGAAGGCTGCGATTAACACATCTAATGCCGGAGTGGAGGCTGCAATGAACTGGCTGCTTGCTCACATGGAAGATACTGGTATTTTATTTTGAAAAGTTTGGAAATACGTAGTAGTGCATGTTATCCCATGACATGATAGATGCATTAATTAATTAATTAATAATTAATTAATTAATTAATTAATTAATCATTCATTGCAGATATTGATGCTCCAATTTCACAAGTAGGACCAAATGCTGTTGTTGATCAATCACAAGTGGATACATTGATTTCCTTTGGTTTCCCTGAGGACTTGGCCAGGAAAGCTCTGAAGGCATCGGTATGATATCAGATATTGTTTTTTTAATTCCTCTCTATTCCAGACGTTAACATTTTAAAAAATATTTGAAACTTAAATTTCCTATAAATATCACTATTATTACTCCTCGACAACAGGGAGGTGACATTGAGAAAGCGACTGATTGGATATTTAACAATCCGGGTGCTTCTGAGAAATCAGATATGGACACATCATGCAGTAATGAAAATTCAGTTGTTGATGCCGCATTACCCGACGGTGAAGGAAGTCAGTCCATTTCCCTCTTATTTAGATTTTTATTTTCATCACAATCAATATCATCAACTTTTGAAAACCCAATGGTTTTCCTTTGTACACTATTTACAGTCAATAATAGATTCTGAAAATCCAATGGGTTTCCTTCAATTTGCTCAAACAGGATATAAGCTCATGGGAGTAGTCAGCCATATCGGTAACTCAACCCAATGCGGTCATTATGTTGCTCATATCAACAAAGACGGTGCCTGGGTAATTTTCAATGATGAAAAAGTTGGGATATCGAGGAATCCTCCACTAGACATGGGATACCTGTACTTTTTTGAGAGAATCACAGGTTGAGAGCATTAGAGTTCTTGGTTTTGTCATACACTACAGGGTTTTGGTTGGCCAATGGGTTCCATTAACATCACTTTGATCTTTGGATTTGTTTGGATAAAAACTAGTTTTTCGGCCTTCCAGAGTTTGCGCCCCTTCTGATACACTAACATTTTGGCTTCACACACACTTGATGTAAACGTGTCTCTGAATTTGTGTTTTTTTAGCAACTAATCTTTACAGAAATGTGGTGCTGTTTATTGTTGTTGGCAAGTCTCTACATGGCGACTCACTATTCTGCAAGTGTTACAATAACATTGGCCTTTTTTTGGAAACATTGTTTTATCTTTGTTGAAGTTGCCAAACGGACCTGATTCCTACTACTACTACTACTACTATTACACCCCTTTGACATTTTTTGTTTTCATTTTTTGGCAAGTAATGTGTTTAATACTGCTTTTTAAGTTCCGGTGACTACAAAAGAATGCCCGGAGCATGTAAAGCGTGGTGTGTAGTTACATAAAGCGATCAACGCACAAAATAGGGTAATGAGTACAACAAACGACTTGAATTTATTGCCTTATTTTGGATGTCATACAACGGACATAAATACATCGTGTGTGCACTATATAATGGATGCAATCATACTAGTATTTAAAGTGTTATATTTAGTCATCTATTATTAAATATTACCTCGATAATTCTTCTTTTAATGGATATATTTTTTATAAATAGTTCTTTTTTTTATATTCTGTCATATTGGTGTTAAAAGAACTAAAAATATGATTTTATAATGATCATATATATTTCCTGTCATACACAATTCAAGAGGTCCTATCTTGATGCGTCGTTTGTGAATTGCAATCACTTTCTATTACATACATAGTTTACATATGTGGTTTTTATTGGAACCCTAGTCTACAATCGTAGTCATTAATGTTGAGTTGTCGGTATGTTAGAATACGTCAATGGACATGAGATTGATATCAAATTACACTTTTAACCCTCAAATTAATACCAACATGACAAAAAGTCAAAAATGACTATTTGTGAAAAAAGATATCCATAAAAGAAGGATCACATGGGTAACATTTCATAACAGATGACTAAACAAGGAAAATTCTATGTTATAAAGGACCAATTATACAATTTACTCTAGTATTTATATACCGTTTTCCATTAGAACTTCGAAGTGAAGCATGTTAGGATCATTGACTCCCCC